CAGAACCAGAAAGTGTCTTCAATATAGCTGTTTCATCCTGTAGGAAAGCTAATCCTATTTTCTAGCATTTATGTCTAATTTAGCTTTAGTATTAGCTTTATTATTTACTGTGGAAAGGTTTTAGTAAGGAATGACTGCTTTAAAAAGATTTGGTTTGATCAGGGGATAAACTAACAAAATCTCTTTGGAAATGAGATAATAGGAGTTGCATTTTTTGGTCCTCACCCAGTAAAACCAAAAAACCCCCAAATCTACATCCCCAGCAGACGGGATCTAGCCCTTGACTCGGGGTTTAAATTGCTAGATTAATAAACCGTCTTTAAAATGCTCTTTGAACAGTTTAAAGTGTTACGTTGTGTTGAGATGAAGTCTTCAAACTGCTTCAGACTATAACTGTTTATATTTGCACAACCAAATAAAATGTATAGTTATCAAAAAAATTAAGCCTTATGTAACACTGCTGGCAATGTCTTTGGGCCATTTTCCCCCTTTTAGGTGTATATGAATTTTAGGATTTTCTTGACTTTCATATTTTAAGAAATTGGCCTTTTATTAGAAAAGATACTATGCTACACCTCCTATACTAATATTCTACTTCTCAGACTATAGCAGCTCTCATTAGTTCTGTAGAGGTAAACACAGTGTTGCCAGTGACCTTAAGCTGTAGAATGAGCTCACATCTCTTTCTAAAAAGGAAGAAAAGTGGACTTGGAACTTCAGGGAATGTCATAAAGTAGAAAACTTCCCTGGAACTGGGTTTCAGATTGCCAGGACAAAATTGGCAAGGAGCAGTTTTTTACTTGAATAATTTAAATGGCAAGAGAGAAACATGTTTTTGTCATTGTTGATGCCTTTTTCTTGCAAATGAGAAGGAAGGTACTGATCATGGGCCCCTGTTAACTGTTGTAATTCAGAGTTGATCTCAGTTTTGCCAACTGCCTTGGATTTGGGAAAAGAGAACAAAAGTCTTTTCCTCTGAAGCTGGGGCCCTGAGTTGGGGCCGCTCCAGCTTGCTGGGTGGTGATGTGCGGAGACAAGGCCAGCTGTTGTCGGGAAGCTTTGTACGTGTGCGTGTTCATGTATGTGTGTATGTTTTAAGCCAAACTCATGTTCATACCCAGTCACTAGGGAAGGCCTGGTGTGTCCATTGTTGGAAACCGTTTTATTAAATGCCCTTCAGGGCTCTGGTCTGGTTTGGCCCCCTTCCTTTGTCTCTGATATACAAAAATTATACTTCTCAGGGGTCATGGGTTTAACTGGGGTGAGGTCCCACTCCTCGTGAAGCTAAACTTGTTAGTGTTTAAACATGGCACCTGAAAAGGCACCTTGTGGGTCAGAGGCCATTTATAACATTAAGTTGCAGGGCTGGCAGATAGGTTGGTTACCTGGATGGAGCAAACCTGCTTGCCACTCAGCAAGGCCTTTTCCTTCCCTAACACTTTTATTTAGGCTGCTTCTCTATCCCCTTGTTCAGTGGAGGCTGAAGTCCTGCCCCAGCTCCCTGGGGGCTGGATACACAGACGACAAGGGCCCCTTCCATTGGGGAAAAAAGGCCAAGACTCTTTGTGAGACCTCCCCACGCACATCTGTGCTACCTTCTACGTGTTCTGATGATTTTTGTTGAGCAACATGTAGAAAATAGGAATCATCTGTTTCCTTGGGTTCTCAAACCTTTGGCCTTTCATTCTTTGGGAAAGCAGGAGATTGCAGTAAAATCTAGGAGAATGGGAAATGGTAAAGCCAGAGGCAGCAGTGAGAGTGAGGAGCCAGGGAGGAGAACATGGAGGACATAACCTGCTGTCCGCTGGAGAGCTGGCTCCTGTTGGGATGTCACCAAGCCCCACCTTTTCTCAGTGTTTCCTTTTACATCTGGTGACCCTTTATTTCCATTCCGTATAGTGGGAATGTGCCATGATTGCTAGGTAACTTTTAAAGAACTTTTTATTTTGAAATAATGATAGGGTCACAGGAAGTTGCAAAGATAGTATGGAGGCAGGCGACAAAACCACTGAGCCAAATCCCAACCCTAAAATACCCTGTAATGTGTTTTGTTTTGTTTTTTGGTACCAGGGATCGAACTCAAGACCTTGTGCTTGCAAGGCAGGTGGTGGAACCACTGAGCTAAATCCCCACAAAGATAGCATGGAGAGGGATCACCCAGTTTTCACAGTTATTGATATGCACAATTGAGTATGATATCAAAGCCTGGAAATGACATCAGCACAGTATGTGTGGTGGGACAGTCCTGTCTCATCTGTGTAGTTTGTGTAACCATCACAGTCAAGACCACAGACATCCTGAAGCCCCTTTCAAGTCAGTCCCACTCCTTTCCATCACTGACCCCTAGCAACTGCTAATCTGCTGTCCATCTCTATAATATTGTCATTGCAAGAATATTATAAACAGAATTTTAGGTTGTGACCTTTTGAGGTTGATTTTCATTTAACCCAGTGTCCTCTAAGTCTATCCAGGTTACTAAGTGTCAGTAATTCATTCTTTTTTCTTTTTTTTTTTTTTTTTT